GGGGGGGGGATGAAAAGCAGTGCAAGCAGATTCTGCTAGCACCCTGTATCACAAGTAGATACAATAGAAGTGGGACATGTTTTCTAACCTTGCTGATATAGGGTTCCTCTTTAGAGTGGTCAGTCAGCAGTCATTCAGAAGTCTTGTAGAGGTTGCTGAAGATGGCCGTATTGGGTGGGTGTAATGTGCAGGTAGCTTTAGATTGGGATATTGCACAACACAGAATGAAGTTGCAAACATTTTGCATTCCCACACAAATACACTGTGAAAAGCTGCCTACTTGAGTTGCCTTTTAGCAATATTCAATCACCTTAATTTGTTATTCAAGACAAGAAACTTTTGTAGGTATCTATATGTGTGCATAGTCTATATTTACCTGCAACTCCGTGGCTTCTACACAACTGGTTTTAATTGCAATAGGTAAAAAAACGGCACTCGCAATGGGATCCGTCTATCCAATACTTTATTTGTAAAAAGGCATAACAGCTGTAAACAAACAAATGCTTACATGTTTCAGCCCCCACACTGGGCCTCAGTCGTAGCTATCCCCTTGCGAGTGCCGTTTTTTTTACCTATTGCGCTGTGAAGGCTCCGGCGGAAGCTTTACCAGGCACCAAGGTTCAAGCAGCTGGATTGGAGACAAGAGGGTAGAGCAGCCCAATGTTTCTAAACTGGTTATAATTGCATGTAAAAAAAAATATGTACAGGATAACACATTGATTTTCATCTCAAAAAAAGTCTTGTGTACCTGTGTGCTACAATAAATTATTCAGCAAAGTCAAAACACTTTGCTGAAGAAGTTATTGTAGCACACAGGTACACATCGTCCTGTCATGGATCCTCTTCACTGTAACATGTTTCACCCAATAATGGGCTTAATCATCTATCTGTTTGTGCACCCGGTGTTCTGTCTAGTGCTGCTGTGAAGGAGCGGTGATGCTGGGTTATGGACATTCATTTTTCATGTATTTATATTATTTATTGGTTCAAATTGCACACATGCCCCAAAACCCACAATACGGTCATCTGCTGAGAGGTTTTTTCACTCCTAGAGAATGCAAAAGAAGGCTATAAAATAATGTATAGTTCACAAAGATCTTTATGCGTCTTTATTGTAGGTATGTTGGGAAGGCCTATAAGAATCGCAAGGAGCTACTGTACCATTTCATTGATGTTGAGCGTCAGATGACTGCTCAGTATTATGTCACAGAATTCAACAAAAGACTCTACGAACAGAACATTCCCACTCAGATATTCTACATCCCTTCATCAGTTCTCTTGGTAAGAAGCTCTTGTAAGAGAAACATAATGCAATATTTGTACAAAAGAGAAGCAATAGCACCCACCTGTCTGTTCATGCACCTAGCTTTCTATGTAAAGTAGTGACTGCTGCTTGGACACCTTCAGTGTGAAATAGTTTTATTGATGTTCCTGCCTTTATGACCAAGATAGAAAATCAAGATAATTAGAATAAGCTTTCGGGGGTTCATAAGCAGATTGTATATGTATCTGAGAGCAGCTCTTGTTATATACTTTGACTGATTTGTCCTGCTACCCATATTTCTAGTCTTGTACCTTGCCAGCCATTAGTATAAGGTCAAGTTACAGAATTTTAGATTGTTTCAAAAACTACAAACCTGCTCCAGTGATGCGATGTCTGCAAACTCCACCACCATGGCCAACATCAGCGTCTGGTCTTCTTTCAGGTTTGGCGTCTTCAGCCATCTTGATTGGCTGGCCCAGGATGACATAAGTCCCAGGCATGCACACAGGAGTTAGAGCATCCCAGCAAGCCGAGGTTTTACATGGAGCTTCACATGCAGAGACAGCAAAAGAGGCAATTTAAAACATGTTTTACTTACAGAGTCACTTTAGATACACGAGCCTTGTGTTGAAGAGGATTCTTTCTGGTTAGCAAATATATCTCCTAAACACCACTAATTTAGTAGGTTTGAACCACATTTTGGGTGATTCAAACTGGGCAGGGTTGATAAGAGGTGGGTATGATTTTGATCAAATATGATAACATTTTGTTACCTGTTTGGTTGTTCAGAATTAGGGATTAAATTGACAGATTGTGTATTATATGATGCACAGAAGTATGTTAAAATGAAGTAGTAAAGTAAAAAGATGAATTTGATTTCGATTTCGAGCAAATATGACAAATTCCAAGACCTCTTTGGTTGTACAGTATTGGGGATTTAACAGACAGATTTTTGTATTGTCTAT